AGGGAAAGAACGGTCTAAGGCACAAGTATTAAAGGGTTCAGGATACTGATATATTCCTTCTCCAAAAGTCGACACCAAACAACCAAAAGCCCTCAGCAACAGCTTATAGTAAAAACCAAACAAAACTGACAGTGTTGAGGCTAGCTGAAGTTCTCCCCCAAAAGGGAGGATGAAAGCAGCAAGAAAATAATTTCAGAGGCCTTAAAATCTGTTAAGTTGAACATGCTTGTCTTATACAACCCCCAAGTACCAGGGTCTTATTCTATCTAATTATATATTCCAACATTTCCACCCATAACACATATCTGAGTTTTGTATGAATAGCTGAAACACGGCTAGCCACAGGGATTGAGGGGGAAAAGAAAATATAACACAGGAAGTATTTTTCTCCTCCTCCAATCATTAAGACACCCCAGGGGAAAAAGGCGTTTTTGGTCACCTTTAGAGATGTGGTTTGATCTGAAACCCCTCTTTGGGGAAAACCTTTTTCATGACCCTGAACATTGGCTCACACTGCACTGGCGACTCATCAGACCATTCTGTTTAACTTCCGAAGTAGATACTCTCACTGAAATCCCCATTCTCCCCCCTACCAGATCCCCTTAAAAAAGAAAAGAAAAAGAAAAAACAAGAGGTTGGTTTTCCCCAGCTCTAGGAAAACGCTCTCTCCTCTGTCCACCAATCGCCCTTGTCCAGGACTCAAGTGGCCATCTCCGATTTGCGGAATCAGCACTGGGCCAAGCCGTGGTTTACGGACCCGGTTTACAATGATCAATGGAGCTATGGAAACAGCAGACACCGCGAAGGAGCCTGCTGGCCTCCCATCTGGAGCCTCACAGGCACTGAAGGTAGGAGGGGGCACGCTCTCGGATCAAAACAAAACCTCCCCCGCGCCCGGGGCGGTCGCGGCGGGGAGGGGGGGTGGTGTCGGTGTCCCAGCGGAATCTCCAGCCTTGCACCTCCCCGGCCGGCGCGCCCCAAGGCAGCACAGCCGCACTCGCAAGGCCCAGGGAAGTGAAATCACACATTCCGGCTCCCAAATAAGGAGCGAGGCTAAATAAACCTCTGAGATACGACTTCTCCAAACCAACCGACCAACCAGCTCAATGAGTAATGGGCCTTTTGTGCCCACAGAAAGAAAGAAGGGAGGAGAGGATAGGGAACCACAACCCCCGAAAATCACTTCCTTGAGACTAGGAGGAAAATTAGCAGAAATGGTCCCGAAGCCAACCGTTGAGACTCGGCTGGATGCCGCTCAAACCCAAAATGGCAGGGTCCTCACGAATCCTCTCGAGTCCCCGCCACTCACACCCGGAGGTGACCGGAAACTCGGTCTCGGCTGTGTGGTCCGCCGGGACCTGACCTTCCCGCTGCCCCCCGCCCCCTGCCGCGCACTTGGCACCCCTCAAGCGCGCGGGACGGGCAGCCCCGCCGCGGCCACTCCTCCGCGGCTCCGACGCCAGACCGAGGAAAGCGTGGGCGCGACCACGCTGAGCCACCGAGAGCTTAGGCCGCTGCGGAGTGCCAGGGGTGGTCCCCGGGAGACCCCATCCGCCCGTCCTCCCCTCCCTCGGGCCCCAAACCTACTTTTAGGGCGAATTTCTCCTGGGTCCTCTTGTTGAAGATCTGCAAAACTTTCCCGTTGATGCCCAGTCCCAGGACCTGGGTGGTAACCTTGTAGTCGTCGATGATGGCGTTCTTCTTGATCTGCAGGCTCGACTTGACGTGGAACTGGGGGAACTGCTGCGGGGGCTGCGGCGGTGGCTGGGCCGGGGGGTGAGGTTGGGCCGGGGCGGGGGGCTGCGGCGGCGGCGGCGGGTTGGGAAACATCGCCGGCGTTGGACAGCATGGTGCGGTGGCGGCGGCGGCGGCGGGCTGGGGAACAGCACCGGAGTTGGACAGCATGGTGCCCGTAGGCGCGAGAGCAGCGGCGGG